ATATTATTTTGTGTTGTTTTGTTTTGTGAAGGCTTTCTGTTATTTAGGGGAAAGCCTTTTAGAGCAGGAGAAGTGCGGGGAAGCCATCCGTGCGCTCGAAGAGAGCGAAAAGTTTTACGACATTTCTGTCAAACTATGCAAAGAGTATCGCAAACAGAAAGCACAGGCAATGGGAGGCACCGGCGCTAAGATCGATGAACACCTCTTTTTTCGCAAATTACAGCCATTAGTGAAGCGCACGAAAGACAAGTGCGTCCGAGAAAATGGATTTATGTATGTATTGTGACCACTGGCCATAACTCACTCTTTTTATGTGGTATTTGTGTTAATATTTGATTTGTTTTGTGGTTTAGTTTTCACGACACAGTACCCAAAGACTGTCCGGTACTGGAGCTGAAAGCCACACACGGTTTGGTGACACCCGAGGAGTTTGCGATGCCTCCACTCCACGAGCTCTGGACCGCTGAGTCGTACGCGGCGTTTAATTTGGCACAAAATGTCACTTTTGTTGATCCGGTAATTGAGTTTTCAAAGTATTGTCAATTTATTTACATTAAATATGTATTGAATTTACAAAACAGCGCAAAAAGGCGGACAAAAAGGGAGAGTCTGGCGATAAGCCCGAAGAGCCCATACCTATGGTTAACGAAAAGCCGATTAAATACAGCGAAACGGATCCCAAGAACCAAAGCGGTTGTCAAATACAATAAATATATTATTGACATGTATTTTATGTTCTGCACAATTCCTATGGCTATTATTTTTTACCCTATTTTTTAATTTCATAACAAGTTTATTATATATTTATTAATTATTAACTAATTATATTGTATTTAAATACAGAGATTTATTATTTAACAAATATTTGGTAATTAATTGTTTAGTTTATTTGTTAATTAAACAGAAATTATGTTCTGGGTTTTAATTTATGTTTTAGATATTTTTATAACCGCTTATCCATTACACTATCAAAATGTATATAAATATTTAAAATAAAATAATTTATCTATAGATTAATTAATGTCTATTATATTTATTTCAGTCAAATATAACTTATGAAGCAAAACATGGATTTGATAGAAAATAAATAAATAATTATTTTGGTTTTAAAAGATATATTTATTGTTAAATATAATCGATTAATAATTTAATTAATTATAAATATTAATATAAAAACATTACAAATAGTATTTAAAAGCATAAATATTAATATAAATTATTTTTATTCACTTTGTGTGATAATAAATGTTAGCAATAAATTATCGCATGCATGCTATTTTAGAAATACTGACTCACTCTCGGTAAATATATAGCTGATAAAGTAATTAAATAATACACTATTAAATTAATTATTACTGTTTATATGCAGTAATAGTCTGACTCAATTGACTGACCATATGTTTAACTAATCTATATTTTTGTATATATAAATCTCTATTAAATAGTGATTTATTTGATAGTCTATTTTATAAATGTAAATTAAGTCACAATCAATCATTACATTAAAATTATTGTGTTATATAATTGGCGTTCAATTACCACAAAATACAGTAATCGATAAAAATATCAATATATGCTTAAAAAGGCACAGAAATTGAGTTTACGTTTCTATTGACTATAGATTATCACTGAAAATATACCACACATTGAATCAATCGATGAGGAAGTGTACAGCAATCGTATGGCAAACACTCAACACCTGTACGTACGATAAGGATAGGCGACACACAAAGACAAGCATACATTACATTTACATTTAGGAAGTGTTGGCCTGAAACAGTGTGACAGTGAGCTGACCGACATCGAAGCTGATGAATGTGCCGCACGTGTGGTGAATGCCAAACACACCGAAGTAGCCAAATATAAAACACTGCCACATGTGCTGCGGATAGCGTTTCTCCATCTGTGTCTTGATCTCCGACGACACGGCCGTCAATGTGTCCGACTTCTCGACGGCGGCGAACGTAATCTTCTTCACGTCCGCAATCATACTCTGCTTCATATCTGTCCGCAGTATCTGAATCTCGCGTTTGATTTTACCCGATTTGAATCGCTGTCGCATTGTCTGTACGCTTAGCTGCGGACAAACAAAATAATTGTGTCACAAGAGATTATGTCAGTTATTTTCTCAGTAAACTATCACGGTCATTCATGCGTGACCATGACCACAAAAATGCTAGTTTGTGTATTGTTTTAAATGCTTTTGCTTTTGTTACCTAAACAATAACCTCGATCTAAATATCTGGCATTAATGACTGACTTGTATTGACGAGTAATTTATACATTAATATATGACAATTAAAAAGACATACGAATTGTGTTTTATAGATCTCGAAGAATAATAGACCGAATTTAATGTTAATAAGATATCCGGGTTCGTACGTGAAGTACGATTTGTGGCCATTCTTATGGTCGGCCAAACAGTGCCAACGGTGGCCAAACTCTTCGTTCAGCTTTTCGGTGATATTCTTGCAAACGACGAAAATGCTGTTATACTCCTTGATCTGAGCCCTCACTATAGTCATCAACTTCTGTGTCACTTCTTTGTTCATCTCGTTTTGCAACACTTCCGGTGACCACAACTGTTTGCGACACGAATTGAATATCTCCTGCTCTGAGATCTTTATTATTCAATTAAAACATTGATTTAAAATAATTTCTTATCAAACATTTCACAAAAGTATACCTCGGATGAAGACGTGAAGAGAGGTTTTGGCTCCGGTTGTGATAATCTTTGGTTACTATTAATGACAGTATTGTTAGTGGGAGTGACTGTCGGCGCAGTGTTGGACAGGTCTTGAATGGTCTTCAAAAAGTTCATTTTCTCGGTTTTCAATTCATTGATTTCTCGCATCAATTGCTGTTCCCGAAGAGCACTGGCGGCCCCACCCGTGTTGAACAGACTCAGCGGACGCACCGGTGCGGAGACCACAGGCATCGGTGGCTGAGGTGCCGGTTGTCTGACCGGAGGACTGGTGGCCAATGGTTTGCGTTTTAAGGCATCGATCTCTTCGTTGGCCTTACGGTTCAATTCAAGCAACGACTTAATGCAGTCGTGACCAGACTTTTGCTCGCAAAAGCATTTCTTGCATTTCTTTACATTTTTGTCGACATTGTATTTGCATTTAGTCGTGTGTTGGATCAGGTCCTCCAAGTTTACCACTTCTTTGCACCCTTTGTCCCGGAAATCGCACCGGATTTTCAGTTTTCCCAACATATTCATCAATACCCTAACATGAAAGGCAAGAGTTACCCGATTAGTGCAATTGGATCTACACATAGATATTGTATGTAATTTTAGTGTCAATTATTAGACTAATTTGTGAAATTGTTTAAATAAATAAACATTAGTTGACTTGATTTGAAAATATAACATATAATATTTCAATAGTGAAAGTCATTGAAGTAATCGGAGGGACAATACCCTCCAGTGATTGATTGTATTCATTGTGTTTACACTTAATTATCTATTTGTTTAAATTAATAAATAGATATTAATATGTTTAATACCGACTTTCAACTTCAGTTATTGTATTAAATTTCAAACTAATTTTTAGATTTGAATTATTATTCAAATTAGTTAACAAACAAAATCTAACTATCTTACAGATATAAAATCTAACACATATTAAATTCAATATTTGTTAATTAAATAATTAATTTTATTGCCTGTAATATTGTTGTAATCATTAAGAATACGATAAATAATAAGATGGCTAATTGAGTGGTCACATACCTAGGTGGTCGTGATAATCCATTGACTGTTAACGTTTTCCTATCGTAAGGACAGGTACTATTGGTTTGAAGCCAATTGTGAATACAATCCTCGCAAAAGGTCTGTAGACAACAGGGGGCTGTCATCGGACAGCAGAATATATCCTGACATATACTACACGTATATTCACTCTTCTCGTTGGCCGACAGACTCGGGAACCTTTCGATCTCATATCCGGGCATTTTTGTCACCACTTTATTATTTCACATCAAAATTATTATAATAATGACTTTAATAAAATTTGTGAAATAACGCACAGAATATACACAATAATACTGTTATAAAAGTGNGTCTTTGTCTCCAAAGAAATAATCAGTTATTTAATACTATATCTGATTCTATGGTTATATTAGTGTTTCATGTGTTTTGGTAGGAGTTCTCTTCTTTCGGGTCATTTAATTTATAAATATTTATATTCGTTTTAAATGTTGTTTAAATTTCTAATCATGTTTAATGTTATAATTATTGTTAAACAGAATTATCATTTAAATTATACATCAGTTCAATGAATGCTCATTGATTTTGTAAATCATGTGAATATAATTATAATTAGATTTTAGGTTTATGTTTTAAATTTTTATAGTTAGTATAGAAAAATTTAATTTTTAATAATTATTGTAATTATATGCAAATAAAAATAAAAATTTGCTGACATTGATCATTTCTTATAAATTAGCTACTTATTACATTAATAAAAACGATTAGTGTTTCTACAATGTCATTCCTAATCAGTGTGAACATGTTTATTTTATAAAATAATTAATTTCCCAGAAGTGTTAAGTAATTCAAATGATTACGTTATGAGTTTGTAATTTTTAAATACATTATTCACAATATCTGAACACAAATTAAATTGTGTTTTATAAATATTTGGTGTAAATAAATTTAATGTATCGATGAAATTATAAATTTTATGCCATGAAGTGAATCGCCCGGAAAAGTCTGGCTATAGATCACAAAGTCTAGCATTTCTTTGTCTATATGTCTCCGATTGCAGACCAAAAGTTGCAAAAATTTATTCCTTAATAATACAGTTGTTTTATCATTTCATTTAGTTTTCACTTTTATAACAGTATTATTGTGTATATTCTGTGCGTTATTTCACAAATTTTATTAAAGTCATTATTATAATAATTTTGATGTGAAATAATAAAGTGGTGACAAAAATGCCCGGATATGAGATCGAAAGGTTCCCGAGTCTGTCGGCCAACGAGAAGAGTGAATATACGTGTAGTATATGTCAGGATATATTCTGCTGTCCGATGACAGCCCCCTGTTGTCTACAGACCTTTTGCNACAAAAATGCCCGGATATGAGATCGAAAGGTTCCCGAGTCTGTCGGCCAACGAGAAGAGTGAATATACGTGTAGTATATGTCAGGATATATTCTGCTGTCCGATGACAGCCCCCTGTTGTCTACAGACCTTTTGCGAGGACTGTATTCACAATTGGCTTCAAACCAATAATACCTGTCCTTACGATAGGAAAACGTTAACAGTGAATGGATTATCACGACCACCTAGGTATGCCACCACTATATTAGCCATCTTATTATTTATCGTATTTTTAATGATTACAACAATATTACAGGCAATATAATTAATTATTTAATTAACAAATATTGAATTTAATATGTGTTAGATTTTATATCTGTAAGATAGTTAGATTTTGTTTGTTAAATAATTTGAATAGTAATTCAACTGTAAAATTTAGTTTGAAATTTAATACAATAACTGAAGTTGAAAGTCGATATTAAACATATTAATATCTATTTATTAATTTAAACAAATAGATAGTTAAGTGTAAACACAATGAATACAATCAATCACTGGAGGGTATTGTCCCTCCGATTACTTCAATGACTTTCACTAATGAAACATTATATTTTATATTTTCAAATCAAGTCAACTAATGTTTATTTATCTAAACAATTTCACAAATTAGTCTAATAATGAATACTAAAATTACATACAATATCTATGTGTAGATCCAATTGCACTAATCGGGTAACTCTTGCCTTTCATGTTAGGGTATTGATGAATATGTTGGGAAAACTGAAAATCCGGTGCGATTTCCGGGACAAAGGGTGCAAAGAAGTGGTAAACTTGGAGGACCTGATCCAACACACGACTAAATGCAAATACAATGTCGACAAAAATGTAAAGAAATGCAAGAAATGCTTTTGCGAGCAAAAGTCTGGTCACGACTGCATTAA